ACCCCCCAAACCATCATCCTCCCCAGCTCAAGATCCCACCAAAACCTCTCCACCTTCCTCACCTTCGCCAAACGGCACAAACTCTCTACAACCTCAACCGTCTACATCGGCACGCACTACGAATACACGGTCCAGCGCGCCCTGCTCACCTTCGGCTTCCACCTAACCCGCGTCGCCAAATCCTCGGACCTGGGCATCGACCTCGTCGGCAAGTGGTCCGTCCCGAGCATGCCCATCCCCATCCGCGTCATCGTGCAATGCAAAGCGCGCGGGAAGCGGCTGTCGCCGGAGAACGCAAGGGAACTTGAAGGCGCGTTTTCTGGGGCGCCAGGCGGGTATCGCGGGGACGGGGTTATCGCGCTGCTTGTGGCTGCGCATCCGGCGACGAAGGGGATGAGGGAGGCGTTGCGGAGGAGCAAGTCACCGATGGGTTTCTTGCAAGTTAGTCGTGAGGGGCAGGTATTGCAGTTTATTTGGAATCACGTGGCGACGGAGAGCGGGTTGCAAGACATTGGCGTTTCTGTTCGCTATCAGGCAAGGATTGCTCCACCAAAGAAGACCAAAGAGACTGGAATGCAGAAGGAGATCATTATGACTTGGAAGGGGTGGGAGGTTTCTAAACCGCCGGAAGATGCTGGGATGTGGTCAAGAGTGTGAGGAAGAGGAGGCAAAAGACGAAGACGCTGGAGGAGTCGATAGAGGAGGAGACGCATGCGAAGTAAAAGAGAGGCCGCCCACCCAAAGCTGCTTGAGCTCGCAGCCTCTGAGTATCACAGCTGAATCTTCCCCCGATCATGGACGATTTTGTCTCGACCAGATGACGCTTGTCCTGTGTTCCTCCGCGAACGCTGAACAGCTTCACAATCCACTCTAAGAGCTCCTCCCACTCCCGCTCCCACTTCCATTTCCGCTACCGCCTTCCCTATACCTACCGCATCCATCTTCCCTATCCGACTGGCCTCCGCTTAAGCTGCTGCTGCCCACGCCGTTGTGTCCCGCATTCGCTGCCGGAGCATTTCCGGTTGAAGCATACCCCGCGAAACCATTCGTTACCGGAGCACCCATCGTCGAGCTTTCCGCCGTGGGCGCCGCCGCTGCAATCCTAACATCCGACGACAGATAGACGCCCGAGTCTCGCGATCCGGCATTCGGACCACCTGTGTGGCTTCCACTCCCTGTATCCGCGTGTACACTGCTACCATTCCGGTTGGCCCTATTGCTGGATCTGCCCTCAGTGTCCGCTCGCTCTATCGCATCGTAGCTTGTCTGGCTGTGCGCAAAAGGGACATCACTCTCATCTCGGATCGGCGGTGGCGGAAGGGTTGATGGGCCTGCCCCATGTGAAACTCCCGCGCTGCTACTGCCACCGAAAGCCTGCTGTAGTTCTCTAGCCATATCAACCGCATGCCGTCGCTGATGGAAAGCTGCTGTCTCCCTTGCCTGCCGAACTATAGCGTTCTGACGATTCAAAAGGTACGCCCGCTGATCCGCGTCAGACATCGCCCCGTAATTTGGATCCTCAGAGATGTCTCCCAGGAAGGAAGATCCATCCAAGTTGAGTGGCGGCAGGGTCGGTGGGTTTACTCCACCTGCAACTCCCGCACTGCTGCTGCTGCTGCTGTCACCGTTGGGAAGCTGCTGTTGCGATGCCCGTCCCAGAGTCAAAGTCAAATAAGCTGTTTGCTGTGGCAAAGTCAATGTATTGAAATATGTCGGCAGCGGAGGGATCGGTGGGTTTGCTTCGGCTGCAGCTCCCGCACTGCTGCTGCCAGCGGCCTCTTCATTTTGCAAAACCCACGATTGCATGCGAGCCATAAAAGCCCTATAAGCCTCCTGCAGGTGCACAGGCAGCCCGAGAACCTCTGCAGGCAAAGGTTCAAGCCCTTCCGGGTGGTTCAAGTGCACGACCGTACCTGTAACTCTCGGGGAAGAAGCTCCGTCCAAATTCGGCGGCGTCTCTGGCTGCGGCTCCGGATCCATCTCCTGCTCGAACACTAAATCCGCCACCGCAGGAAGCCTCCGGCTCCTCCTCCTCGCCGTTATGGCCATCTCGACAGCCGTGACCCACCGCACGCCGTTGTCCAGATGTTGATGCACAATCGCTTGCGCAGCGTCGTCCATACGCGTGTATTGCGCGCGCAGAAACGTACGATACCCGGGCCCCGTCCGCTGCAACCTCTCACACCGTCCGCACGACAGCTCCACCTCATCAAACGGGTTTTTCTCCCACCACTTCTGTCCTTCTGCCTCTTCATCCTCACTCACCACATCCTCCCGATCCCCATGCCAATCAGGATGCCTTTGCCACTCGGCCTCCCTCGGAAGCTGCAACAGCACATTCGACGGACTCGGCAAACGCAGATGCGCAATACGGCTGTTGTGACGATGCGAGCGGCTCCCGCGTATGAGGGTGGTAATGGGGATCTGGATGTTGCCGCGGGGCGTCTCGAGCTCGATCATGGGCATGACGCCGGCGTCGGCCATTTGTTGGCGGACGGAGGCGGGGATCGAGGCGGCTAGGGCGCGGATTTGGGCGATTTGGCGGGCTGCGTGGGCCTCGAGGTGGGCGATTTGGGCGGCGGTGGCGGTGCGGGCGGAGAGGTCTGCCATTGTGGAAAGTTGAGTTGTTGTTGTTGTTGTTGTTGATGATGGTGTTGGTTGGTGGTGTTGGTGTTGATGTCAGGGTTTGGTAGGTGGCTGGAGTTGAGTCGAGTGGAGCAAGTGGTAACTTATGGTGGGCTTGATTGAGGGTTTGTGTCTTGCCTGGACTTCAGTCTTTGTTGAGGAGATTCCCTTGATTTGCATTCCCTGTTTCGGTCTTGGTTTTACCAGAGCTCTTTATTGGAATGAATGAGAGAAGATGATCGAGTGAAGTGTGAGATATGGACCAAAGAAGGATGAGTTGGTTTTAGTCAGAAAGAAAGAGACAGTCTATTCGCGTGTGAGATGCTTGTTTTGTGATGCTGTTGAAGATGTTGTGTTGTGTTCTCCGAGGGTGCTTGATTGCCATGAGGTGGAGTGGTGTTGGTAAACAGGCAGTCACCGCACACCGTCAGAGACGTGGATGGAGTGAGTGAGTGTCGTGTTGTCCCTTCCACCTCTTTCCCGATTGCAAATACCAACACGGCGCCGAGACTTTGAGCTTTGAGCGCGCTTCCGGTTCCTGCAAGTGGTGTCCCGTCATTGCACGTGTCGTCCAGACTCCAGAGCAGATTGTCTGTCCCCAGGAGCATCAAGCTTGCTCCCAATGAGCATATTCTGTAGGTGATTCGCCAAACTGAGAGAGACTTTGAACATTTCATGCTTTGTATGTGAGTACCAACTACTCAAGTCTCTATGGAAATTCACTCTAAATCAGACGTTATACTTCTCGACTTCCTAGGTGGGTTTAACGTTACGGTTGGTTGCACTTTGTCTTTCCGCAACATATCCCCATATTTTCAATCACATCGACGCCATCTTACGAATTTCTCCTTTGCGGAGCAGCGGATGTTTGCTCGGAATGCTTTTTGGACTAAGTCAATTTTCTAATTCCACGTCTGCACAGCGGAGCAAACTCTGCAGTTGAAAAAAGCACCTCCCCAGCTAAACGACGAACCCTACCCAAAAGCAAGGTAACCATCGACTACATCCCCTTCCATTCCTATTCCCAAATCCAAAGAAAGCCCCGCATCCGGCCCAAAGCCCCAACACCACTCTACAGCAAAAACTTTTAAAAAAAAAACTTAAAGTGCAACGCCTATACCGTCCCCACTACATCCCAAGCCCTACCCATATCCAGCCCCAATTCCAATTCCAAATCTCAAACAACAACTCCAAATACTAGCATCCCAAACCCTCTAAACACACTCCTCCACCAAGCAATCCACTCCCCACTCCGCACACCGCACCTCTAAACAACCGGCGGGAAGATCGTATCCCCAGGCTGAGCCTCGCGGAGGGGCTCGTAGCAGAGCGGCTCGATGCAAGTATCGACATGGCCGAACGCGGGCGGGTCGCGGACCTCAACATCCCTCGCTCCCACAGGCGGCAGACGCGAATTGTCCGGATGAACCTCCTGGCAGAGGTTCGTGCCGCGGAACGGCTCGAAGCAGTAGCGGTCGACGTCGCCGACGGTAGGGGGGTTACGGGCTTCGAGGTCATCGTCTCTGGCGACCGCGGGCACGGGCGCAGGCGGGAGACGCGAGTTGTCGGGGTGGACCTCCTGGCAGAGATTCGTGCCGCGGAAGGGGTCGAAGCAGTAGCGATCGACGTCGCCGACGGTGGGGGGGTTGGGGAGTGCGACTGGGGCGGCGGAAGCGGTGAGGCCGAAGGCCAGGACGAGGAGGGAGGGGACGAGCATTTTTGCTGGGGGTTGTGGGATGGTTGTTTGGTTTGAGGTTTTGGAAGTGAGGTGAGGTGAGATGAGGTGAGTTGGCTGAGTTGAGTTTGGCTACTTTGATATGTGGGCCTGGGTCTGAAGTCTGTCGAGTGGATGAAAGAAAGAAGGGAGAGTGAGAAGATGAGTATGTTTATATAGGTTTTCAGAGGGGGGCTGTGGGTCAGAGCGATTAGATATTCCACCAGGCCACGAGGTCAGAGCGGTAGGAGATGTGAGACTGTAATGATGCATTTGGAAGACATACATGGGATTTGCAATGTGAGCGTTGCAGGCACGGTTGCCGCCAGAACTGCTTGAGCACGTGGAGAGCATACCCTACTGTTCAACGAAGAAACCTTACCCTAGAGGGGAACATACGCGTTGATTAAGCGCCGTGGCGGATGACAGTAAGAGTTGGAATAGTATGCTTTCAAGCCCTAAGGTAGTTGTGTTAGTGCGGCATAGACAGTATAGCCTAGGTAGGATTGCAACTGTGGTCAGGTCGCATTCTTCCTTCTTCAACGTTGCCAAGCCCTATTCTCGCACTCAGATGTCCAAAACCAAGTCCTTTTCCACCGTCCAGGCACACAGACAAAGACTTCGATATTCTGAACTGCTTCTCCTCGAGGGTAGCAAATAACGGGCCTGATGAGAATCGAACCAAAGACACGAGGAAAAAGATCCGCCACAGCTGGCCGACCGACCGCCATCCTCAGCCCTTCCACTGAGCTACACGCCCAGTTGCTGTAGGAGCTTATGACCATTGGACATGGCCATGATGATGAGAAAGATCATATCACGTGTTAGCAGTCGCCCTCCTTTCACCTTTGCCCCCTGACGTCTCCCTCGCATGTCGTTCCAAAATCCCATTCAACCCCTCCCTCTGCACACACTTCCCAAACTCAAAACTCCTTGCACACTCCTCCAACTCCTCTTTTCCCATATTTCCAAACAACCCCGCAAACTCCTCCTGCACGCAGCCCGCGAGCCACATCTGATTGATCAGCCGTATGATCTGGCGCTCCGTAGCCCAAGGCGTCGGATACTGGTCCTTGGAGGTTGGGGCGACAGAGTCGATGTATGCAACGAGTGGCTCGATTAGGGAGTCGATTTGGGGTGATGGACCGCGGCCCCAGGCGTCGAGTTTGAGGGCGCGTTTGCGGGCGAGGAAGGGGGAGATGGTGCGGAGGTAGGGTCTTGTTGGGGAGGCGTGGAGCATGCCTTGGAGGCCGATGTCCTATTTTATCGTGATACTAGGGTGAGTGCGGTGTTCTGTAATGAGTTTTGGGAAATGAGGAGGGGAGATGGAGCAGACCTTGTAGAGCCAGATCGTCCAATGTGTATTGTACTTGTCGTAGATTCTGAGTTGTTCGCCTAGGAGTTCGTATCGCGCAGCGTTGATGCTGGCGTGGTCGGGTTCGAGCTCTGGATTCGCGTACACAGGGCCGAATTCGCCGTTGTAGATGGGTGTTTTGTGTTTTAGCATGAACTCTGCTTTTCGGAGGAATTGCTTTTCTAGTTGCGACTTTTGTTCGTCTGTTCCTTCATATTGCCCTGCTCCAGGGAAGCCCATTGTCTGGTTGGATCAGTGGAAGGTAAGGACGGGTGTTTTGATATACTGACCGAGTAATCGTGGAGATTGTAGACACAATTAGGCAATGCTTTATCAAAGAACTTCCACTCCATCGCCATCGTGTTCCCATCAAAGAAGATGATATGATGTGGATCAACCTTGCGGATCGCCGCTTCGATCCGCTCGTAGTAAACGGGCAAACGCCAGTGTTCCGGATCGCAAGGCTCATTGATAGGATTATAGCCCGCAACCCAAGGATTACCTTTATACCGAGCAGCTATCTGCCCCCACAGCCACACCACTCTATCCTGATGATCCTTGTAGTCCCAAAAAGCGGCATAGTTCGTCACGTTATCGGCATGCCAGTCGGGATTCTGACCACCCGGTAGAGCATGAAGATCGAGGATCGTGTAGACGCCTTCTTTGGCGCACAGTTCAACAACTCTGTCCAAATGCTTGAAACCTTGCTCTTTCAGGACTCGCGGATTCATGTCATCCTCGAAATGACGGTAGTTGAATGGCACTCGCAGGCAATTGAGACCTTTGCTGGCGAGGAATCGCGCATCTGCTGCGGTGAAGAAGTACTCGAGGAATTTATCGAAGAAGAAGTCGTAGCGTTCTTGTCCGAGTATTTTTAGCATTGCTGCACGGTGCTGGCATTCGTGGCCCGGGTATCCCGTGACGAAGTTTTCCATGCTATGAATTGTGATTAGTTCAGTTCGAAGAGGGTATTTCCGCTTTGCTCACTTCATCCATCCGCCAAGTCCGGCTCCGCGAAGAGTGACAGGTTTGTCATTCTCGTCTACTATCTTGTCTCCAGATACACGAAGGATCCCGGCCATTGTTATGGCACAACTACAAGGAGATTGAGTATAAAACCTGTCCGATCACGTTCGGATCTAAGACGTGGAGAAAGATGAAGCTGGAGCTTGGGAGCGCTTAAGCTAGCTGGACTTGCGAAACACAATTGATCAAGGAGGAGGGTGGGAGAGTTGGAGTGAAATTTGGCTGAATTGTAACTCTAGCGTTGGAGTCTTGTCGTGAACGCTGATAACCCTGTGACGATCATTTTGTGATTGGTGCTGTACTTCAAGGATGAGGGCTTCAACCACAAACCTTCAGAGCAACAACAACAAATGCCAGTCTCTAACTGTTCTGATGATTCCAATGGAGTTGAGGTGGCTGGGCAGTGGATGGACGATGATGGGATGGATCGCATGTCTCGGAGGAACAATTATCCTTTCCGCTTTTGGCGTTTCCACTTTGACGCGTACGCGTCGGACCTCTTTAACGGACGTGTATAACTCGCGAAGTACGCGTTAACATATTTTCCTTTTGCTTCCTTTTGCCTCTTGTCATAATGTCCGTTTCTTGGACAAGAGACTCTCTCTTCAAAGCTTTCTACCTGCTCAATTGAACGAACCCAAGCAAAACCAGTGCAGAAATTTGAGTCCACCCGGACGGACAATCAGTCTGTCAATATGGCAACGGTACCCGCGACTGGATTAGAAAAGCTCATCTCGGACGGTTTGATTGGTCGATCTAGCCATTCTGTTCTTCCATCGTTACCGCCTGGTTTCCTGCTACCCATTCCGACTCCAACAGCTGTTTCCATGACGATTCCCACGACCGCTCCGCAAGAGCATGCCCCGCGAGAACGTGCTCTGCAAGAAGATCCCAAACCAGAACTCAACGGCGACTATAAGGAAGACTTATACACCATCCTCTAATGGGTAAAGCGTCTCGACACTGACGAGGTCGACGAAGCAACGGCTACGAATGTCGCACCGGAATGGCAGAACATCCCGGAGGTTGCCTGGGCCATCAATGCTGTTACTCTGATCTTGAAAGGCTGGATGCAAAAGACCGCTCTTGAAGACGCATTAGACCGCACACAGCTTTATCATGCACTCAAACCTGATGCCATAAAAGACTGACGCGCGCAGAAGAAACTCGAAGCTACCCCGCCGTCCTGGAAATCCCTTTCAGCACAGCAATCTGGGGTGGTAGCAGTTCTGAAAAGCGCATGTACCAAAGCTAATTGTCAATTGTACTTGGCGAAGATGCTGCGTGAGGTTTCGGAGACGATAGAGGAGATGTTTCATGAAGACGAATACGAAGAGCAGAATGGGCCTTCTTATGAAGGTTATGGGTGGGGCGATTGGGATTCCCTAGCCTTTTTGAGCCTCGTGGACGTTGCCAGATCATCCTTGACCACAAAGCCAAGTCTGGACGTTACAAGCTATCTTCCATTTCTGGTGAAGCCCGAACAAAGCTTGTTGACACATGCATTCGACTTGGCGATATGGCAATGTTGAAAGATGCATTGAAGATGATATTCACTTTTACGGTAGACGGCCCTGGACGGCTTCCTCCAAGTCTGTGGCCTCGACTTTCCGAGATGATGGCTTCGGAAGGGTTCCCAGCCGTCGGAGATTGGCGTGAGTTGTACGTACCTCGCTCTGCCTAAGGCCTGTAGGTGACCCTCCCAAACTGACATTCATCCAGGCTTGACACGGCTATGAACAAAACGTTGAGCATCTCAGAGAGATATGCAGCTTTGAGAGCTCTGTCGACACCGGGCGTTGCTGCCGCACTCGAAGCCAACGGACAGGACGCGGATTTCAACGCCTGGGCAGGGGACGCAATGAAACGCATTATGGATGCGAGGGTAGAGGATTCAATCCTCTGGCAGTTGTCTTATCTGGATGCTCTGGCATTGATCGGTTTCGTCTTGTGGGAACGTGCCACGCCAGAGGCACGAAACAGGTGAGCACAATCTCTGAGCTTTTCTTACGCGCCTTCTAACTGTGATTGTTGTGCACTCTGCTTTCCCAACGCCGAGACTGTCATGAAGAATACCACTTTTGTCCTGCAATTCGCTTGCTCTTTGTACGAAACAAGAAGCAATGGACGTATTCCAGAAGTCGAAGTTGTATCCAGGTACAGAATCCTGATTGACCGGGCCATTCCATCCATGAACTTGAGCAACTCAACATGTATCAATCCAAGGAACATCACATTTTTTACCTGCCAGGAATCGAGCGACCCTCGAGGTCCGGGTCGCGAGTCCTACATCCTCCTCAATTTGCTCCAGAAACTGTTTGAGACCCTTTTGGAGCTACACCTTGATTCTGATGTCCACAAGCTACTGGTGGTACTGATTAGAGAGTCAGAAAGGGCCAGTGAGAACAATTTAAAGCTAGTCCTTGTACCATTCCTGCACTTTCTCGTCTCGAATTCCGAAAGACTCGGCATTTCACTGTCGAGATTCTTATACGAACACTTTTTCCAGCGCGTCATGGACGCGTATATCAAACGGTACGTCAGACAAGAACCTGTTCTTGTGGAGCAAGGGCGCGGGAAGAAGTTGGAACGGGAGAGAATAACAAGGCAATACGATGCCGCCGTGAAATCGTGGAAGCTGAGAGCGGAGGAAGCGCAAAGGGAGATCTGGCGATTCGACCAAACAAAACTCAGAGCCCTCCTGGGAGAGAATTACTCCAGAATCAGCGACATGAGAGATGTGCGATTGGAGTTCCAAGCGCAGCGGCCCCCTTTACCACCATTCTATCTTCCGACAAATCATCCAGCGTTTGGCGGTCGAGGTCGTTATGAGCGACCTACCGCCGCAGCAGGAAACACACGACTGCAGTCACAGGCAACGTATCAGGCACGACCCTCTTTGACTGAAATATCTCGAAGCATCAGCGAGCAGTTTTCTCAGCAAAAGGTTGGAACAAAAAGGAAGGCGGAATCGCAGATTGTAGACCTCACTCAAGACTAGACGAGGTCGGCCGACGGAGACGGCTACAACCCTGCGCAAAAGTCTCGGTTGAAACAAGCGCAGCTAATCGGCGCAGTGTTTCTATTTCAGCTAGGCGCATATTTGGGGTTGGACATGCATCCCCTTTCCGCGATGCGGTGTACAGCAGAGCGATCGTCTCTCATGCATATTGCATGCAAGTGTGCCGCTTCTTCCACGGCGCACCACCAATGGTTTCTTTCCCGCTCCTGTACGACCTTCCCGCTTCCCCAGTCTTATCTTTTCTGTCTCCCCGCAAAATGTACAATACTGTGTCTATAGCTACTTGCGGATCGTCGACGGGTTTCTTCCCTCGCAAGTGCGAGGCATTGTAAATACAACTTGTTTACAACTGTCTACA